ACCGGAGCTCCCCAAGGCGACACACTTGGTCGAATAAATCCCTTTTCTAACCACTCTTGCAATTGATTCTTTAACTCTTGTAATTCTTTCATAGCCATCCGATAAGGTGCCATTGCAATCGGAGCGGTTCCCGACATTACTTCAATTTGAAATTCTACCTCTCTATTTGGAGGTAATCCTGACAACTCAGCCGGGAAAACATCAAGGAATTCTCGAACTATTAAAATCCCATTCAATCCTTTCTCTTTAGCTCTGGTATATCACATTTGCAAGAAAACCCTGACATCCTTGTAACAATAGCTTCTTAGCAGACATTACTGATATTACATTTGCTAAAGGGTTAAATCTTTCACTGATCACACTTATTTTTGTTCCTCCTAGACTTTTCAGGGTTATCTTTTTCGATCTGTAATTAACATCTCCATAATAACGGGACAACCAATCCATTCCCAGAATCACTTCAAACTCGTCAAAGGGTAATTCCATCAGATTAGCAGGGAATTCAATTCCCTTAATCTTTATGGGACACCCCTTATAGACTTTGTTCACCCGACCACTATGGCCTAAAGGATTAGTTACTATAATCTCATTACTCGTAGCTTCTAAGGGAATCCTCAATTCCTTTACTAACTTACTCGTAATGCAAGAATAATTAGATCCTGGATCAATTAGTACCAAAACCAATTTATCATATAGCTGAAAAGTACTTGCTATAATATCAGGGTCATCACGATCTTCACTTGTCTTTAAATTGTACACCCGTGCGGTTGACCGAACTTCAGGTTGAGCAGAGGATTCAGACTGGTTCCTTCCTCTGCCTCTTCCTCGTCCTCTCTGTGAGGCAGAACCAACTCTTTCAGATGGTACAGGCTCACCAACCATCAACGGATAATCCCAGATAAAATGTCCGACATCTCTGCATCGAAAACAAGTCCCAGCAGCCATCCGACAAGCCCCAAAATGGTTTTTCCCACAATACTAACACTGTCTTGCTTAACCCTGATTAGATCTCCCAGCACCAGATCCCACTAACTGTGTCTGTCTAGGTCTTTCCTGACTTGCTCCCCTAGCAGATGATACAACTGATTCTGATCTAGTTTGTGATCGAAATCCAGAGTCTCTTTGATGTCTGAACTCTTGAGTCCCCAAATCTCTCATTCTGAGCTCTTTCAAGAGCCTTGGCACGATTGATCACCTCTTGGAACGAGGAAAAATTCAATACTATCAGCATCTCTTTCAATCTAGGGCGTAAGCCCTCCACAAACCATTCACAAGCCTATTTTTCAGTAGGCACCAGCTCAGATGCAAACCTACTTAGCTTGTTGAACTCGCATTCATACTCATATACAGAGCGGTTCATCTGTTTCAAGTTCATAAACTCCTGCTTCATCTGCCGAATAAATTGATCTCCAATATACTTGTTTTTAAATTTATCTAAGAACAAAGACCAAGTCAATTGGTTACTTGACATCCTCATGATGACGTTCATCCACCATATCCTCGCCTGACCCCTCAGTAAAGAGATAACTCCATCTAACTTCTCCACTTCAGAGAAGTGGAGACCATCCAACATGATTTTGAAGTCATTTAGCCAAAGATCAGCCGCAATCGGCCCTTCCTCGGCTTCTCCCTTAAATTTGGGAGCTCCTAAACCTCTCAACTCTTTTGCTACATTCATTCCTCGAGTAGGTGGGGCAGGAGGTTGAAGACGCGTCAGAATAGCGTCCAACGTCCTTAAGAAAGTGTCTTGATCTTGTACAGGCACTCCCTGAGATACTTGTCCTTCACCTTGCCTGGCCAGGGCAGGTGAATTACTACTTTCAGCAGGCCTATCTTCTCTCACTTCACTTCGGGAGCTATTATGTCCGGGCATCTAATAAAATAAACACATTGCTCTATTAGCAAAACAACATACTCATACTATACCAGATCAGAAGTTCTCACTATTTATCGGCATGTATTCCATTTAAAGACTCTATAGACTCTGGTTTATGCCTAGAATCGGCTAAACCATAGCTCTGATACCATTAAATGTAACACACTTAACCCGTACCCGACCCGGATACGAGTTCATGATGTCACATTGACTAAACAAAACAGTACTACAAAAACCGATAAAACATTTGAACTTATATTATTAAAATACAATAATATACATATGTTAATACAAATTTATCAAAATAATCAGAGCATACACCACTTGACACTTTAATTACATGGCAACATTCATTTACATAACAAAAGGACCTACTGTTCAAGTTGCCTCTGATCTGATAGTTGTAGGAGTAATATTGTCCAGTTGCTTAACCTTGACCGTCTACTCTCTTGGATCCTACGTGTGAAACACTCACATGCTAAGTCATCGACTTAGTGAGGCAATATAATAATAATGATAACAAAGAAATGTAATGGAAATGCCATAATTAAATGGAATGAGACAAAATCAAATGCTTAACCATGCAGTTTATATCACCATGTTCTTTACCTGTAAACATAATATATTAACATTCATGAATTTATATTAATAAGATTATTGGCCCATGATACCATACTGAGAACCTAAGGTATGTGAGTACTACGAGGTTGTGCACTATGTTGTCACCACAGTATAGTATAAATGCACCGAAGTGCCGTGTAGAATTACACCGTAGTGCCATATAAGATTGACCCTAAGGACCACGTAGAAAATTTTCTTAAGAATCATTTACATATGTCAAGGATCAAGTATGTGTCTTAAAAGACCTCACACATGTTCCAAAGAATACATATATGTCCCGAAGGACCGCATAGACCCTCTACTCTTGGCATGCCAACTATACCTATAGTTCTCATCTACATAACATGGGTTTCCACCATTCCCATAATTTATATTATATAGACATATAATTTCCATACCTTTATCACATAAACATATAATGTTCCATCATTGTATCACATAGCTTATATAACCTTTCCTGCATATTCATGTCACTTAATGCATATAATATGAATTCATGTCATGTATCATAATATGAAATGCGATCATGTATCAAAATATTGAATCTAGACTTATCATAAGTCTAGAACTGAATAGAATACATATTCATGCTATGCATATGCACTAACCTATATTTCCTTGCTTTTTCCTCGATCGATCTTACGAGGCAATTATTCTAGAACTCGTTTAGGCTCGGTATCTACAGAGTAATTCATTGATGCTAATCAGTATACTAATTAATGTATTCTAAACTATCATTTCTTGGGCTAAAAGAAAAGCCATTTTCATCTTTTAATGAAGGTATGCATCGATGCACCACACCATGCATCGATGCATAAATCCTATTCGATGTTTATATTTAAGGGGGTGCATTGATGCACTCCTTATGCATCGATGCATTGATGGCATTCGATGTTTGTATTTTAAAAGAGTGCATCGATACACCTCGAAAAATATTTGGGATTTATCCTTGATGCATCGGTGCACATTGAATGTGCATCGATGCACATAGCCCAGAAATGTCATTTTAAGCACAAAAATCTCTTTATAATCTTCTCTACACTTTATATTTCACCTCCTTTTATATCTCTAACTTGCAAACACTTACTTAAACTAATTATTATCCATTCGATACCTTTAAAACTTAGAAATCCAATTCTCCATATAAAATTTAAGAATTTCACTCAATTTCCAACATGTTCTAAATCGAATTCTAACACTTCATATCCTTTAATTACCTTGATGACAAGTCAAATCCCACTTCTAATTCTTATTATGAACTATATTCCAAGATTTTACTTTTCTACTTCATTTCTTTAATCCTTCCTAACCCCATCATCTTATGATTTTAAGATAACCTAAGCTTTCCTTAAGCTTAGTTATCATCTAATGATCAATAAACAACCTTAAATTTATCAAGAATTTGATTAACAAGAAGACTCACCTTTAGCTTGGTCTCACGGGGAAGAAGAAGAAAGAAGAAGAAGAGAAATCTAGAAACTTTTGACTTCTCTACTAACTTCCACGTGGTTTATAAAATCTCATCAACTAATATTTAATTGTTTCATTGTCAAAAGACTCATTTGCCTTTAATTCCTCCTTCCTTGCTGATTAATCATACATAAAACATTTCCCTCAATTCTTTGAACTTTTCAATTTATCCCTTTTGATCACTGAATTTTAAAATTCTACAATTTGATCACTAACCCGGTATGGAGGATGTTACAGGATGCTAAGGTAGTGGATGTAGACTTGATTTAGAAGTCGAGTACATTTGGTTGGTTTGTAAGTTGTTCATATTTGTTCTCCCAGATTTCTTTAGCTTATGAGTTCTAGACCCATTAGGAGCAGTCTTTTTTTTTCTCCTAGAGTCTCATTTCTCTTTATTTTAAATAAAATTAAGATTAAGTTTATAATTTGTCAAAAAAACTGGGTATGAATTTGCATAAAAAAATTGGGTATGAGTTTAAAGCAGCCAAGCAAATAATTGAATAAGGGCTCGAAAGCCTAAATCGTTTTCTATTTTTCCCACACGCCCCTCCATTATTTAAATTGGTAAACTATGTATTTAGTACTTAAACTATTAGTTTCAGTCTGTTTTAGTATCTAAACTTTTAATTTTTCAAAACTACACGTAACGTTTAGTTTTTATTTTATTTTAGTACCCGACAATAAAACTTAACGCGTTTAGTATCTAAACTATCAGTTTTTTTCCGTTTTAGTACCTAAAATTTCAATTTTTTTCAAAACTTAACATTAAATTTTGAACAGAGGTACTAAAAATTAAACAAAAACTAAAACTTTTAATGACATAATACTAAAATGTAACAAAAACTAAACTTTAAGTATGATCTTGAAATAAATTAAAAGTTTAGATACTAAAACAGACTAAAACTGATAGTTTAGATTCTAATGGCTAATTTACCCTATTTAAAGAAACCTACTGTCAAAATTTACAATTAACCCTTAACCTTCTCTGTTTCATTTTCTCCGTTCAACGTTCGCTCCTTCTCGCTCGGATATATTTCCCCGTTCCCGTCCAAACAAATCTCTAATTCTCTCTTTTCTTTTGTCGTTTCTCTTTATGGACAATTCTCAGCTCTTCCTTCACTTACAGAAAATTAGAGTTTTTTTTTTCATTTTCTTTTGTTGTAGATAATATAGTTTTAGGGTTTTATGTTTTCCCCTCATTGTACATTTTAGCTTTTGCATTTTTATGTAAGTCTTGGATTTAGATTTGTTAATGTATTGCTTCAGTTATTTTATTTGCTGATTTCATTTAGATGAAACAACGAGTCATTATCGATTTAGGGTTTTCAATTTGTTTGTACTTTGTATATTAATCAATCAATATGGATAATCCGCGTCGACCGTTTGATAGATCAAGAGGTCCCGGTTTGAAAAAACAGCGTTTAACTGAGGACCTCTGTCTGAACCCTAGCGGCCAGCCTTTTCCTCAACGGACGAACCCTGTTGGTCCGTCATCTGCTTTAAGATTCCGGCCCAATGATTTGGACACCGATGACATGAGTCCTGGCGGTGGAGCTTATGAGCCACAACCAGTTTCGCATCACCAGCAACAGCGGCAACATCAGGAGTTAGTTAGCCAGTACAAGACGGCCTTAGCTGAGCTGACTTTTAACTCGAAGCCGATTATAACTAACTTGACAATAATAGCCGGGGAGAATGTTCATGCCGCGAAGGCGATTGCCGCCACTGTCTGCGCCAACATTCTTGAGGTGAACTCAGTCCTAGCTGTTCCTTATGTCGTAAAACTTAAAAGCTTTTCCTTTTTGTTTGATATTGAATTGTAATGAGAAATGAATTACAAGTCTGCTTCTATACCGTGGGAAGAACACAAAAGAGAAAATATAAATTGGATTGTAAGTGTAAATTAGATTAATGGATTCCATATTGTTTCGATTTTATCAATGCCTGTCTTGATGTGGGTTTATTGAAATGCTTGCTAGAGTTCTCTCAAGTTCAAAATTAATATTTTCATAACAGATGATTAAATCACCGATGTTTCCAAGTGTTGGTTGTTTGTTTTTAGTGACAAGTGCAGTGTGTGAGATTGTAATGGTATGTTACTATTGCTAGTCTATGTAATTCCAATGTAGGGCCTTGTTGCATATAAATTTATTGTTTCCTTGTGTCCGTGTTAATCTCTCATGGATCTGAAATTTTCCAAGTGTCCCTATACATGTAAACATCCAATTACTGGAGTATAGAGATGATAACTTTACAGGCATGTGCTACAATGGAATATGAAGAGAGCTGGTAGTTTGTGAGACTATTGATTTCGTGGAAAATGAATCGAGTTGGATTTCGAATCTGACAAAGCTATTTATACCGTTGCAGTTTGGTTTTTTTTGAAAGCAACATAGTTGTATGCTCAACTCTTTTTCCATTTCAACTTACTTTTCTTCTTTATCCAGTGTAGCACTTACCAATTTACATGTATCATCTCTCACGAGCAATTTTTGTTATATTACTATGATGGAATTTGGATGGTGAGATGAGGAAATAGAACTAGAAATGCTAAGGCCCTGTAAGTGCTTGAGTTGAGTTTTCTGTTACTTCCTGCCCTCTTAAGCTCATGACTGGCAGACGGTAAAAATCAGCTTTCCAAGTTTACCTTTAAATGGTACCTCGGATGCGAATTGCTTGAACTTCAATGGATTTATATTCTTTGGTGGAGCTTTCTATTTCACAGACAAGGCAAAGTCAGATATCAGTGAAATGGAAGTGCAAAAATCTTCATTGCTGAGACTTTCTTCTCTCTCTCTCTCTCACACTCTCTTTTTGTTTTTGTTCATTACTAGGAAAATGTTGCTTTTGGTTCATTTTAGTTATTTTTTTTGTCTGCTTGTACTCTTCATTCCCCCCTCATCTAATTTTCTTTTCATTACAACTTTGCTGGTATTATAGATATGGCTAGTATTTTGAGGAATAATTAGTTCAATAAAGCTTTTCGAGTTTGGGTGCTGATTAAAAAATGATTTTGCAGGTTCCCAGTGACCAAAAGTTGCCATTGCTCTATCTTTTGGATAGTATTGTAAAGAATATTGGGAGGGATTACATTAAACATTTCGCTGCCAGATTACCAGAGGTTAGGTTTCATTATTTTTTTGACTCCACGGTTGCTGAATGTGGCATAAGACAATTGCTTGCAGTATGCTAATGTTTGATTCTTTATTGTTTAAAAAACTGCAGAAGACTATGTATCAATGAAAAAACTATATCCTTTAATGAATGTATTCTTCCAGTTGCAACCTTATGTGCTCAGGATCTTGAACTCTTCCAAGTGCTGAAAACTTTTTTTTATGTTACATTTGTGTTTGTATAGAATGAAGTTGATCCTCATGTTCAAGTGTATAATCCTTGCTATTTTGACTGCTGTTTTTAGGTTTTCTGCAAAGCATATAGACAAGTTGATCCTCCTGTGCATCAGAGTATGCGGCATCTTTTTGGAACATGGAAAGGAGTATTCCCTCTTCAAACTCTCCAGGTGATTCTGAAGGAACTTGAATTTGCTCCCATGATAAATGGTTCATCTTCTGGAACGACAACATCGAGGCCTGATCCACTTTCACAACGTCCAGCACATAGCATTCATGTAAACCCAAAGTATCTAGAAAAACAGCAACTTCAACAGTCTAGCAGGGTAAATTCTTTAATAATCTAGTCCTCTTTTATGGAATCTTATTTGTTCAAGTTCTATTTTAAAGATTCAGTCTAGTTTTTTTCAGTGTAGTTATGAAGCATTTATGGTGGTTGGAGGTTTGCTTGATTATAAAGCGAGCTCTTTAAATGTTTTTACTCTTGTATTTTCTTCACTTTCCTTTTTAAAGATTCATATGCAAAATGCTAAAAATCCCTCTATACCATTCCTTTCTAGTCCTTTGTGGAATCAGATCAATGTCACCATTGCCAATTCTTTTAGTTCTTCGACTTTATTAATTTTACTCTGTGCTATGTGATAGGTTTAGTGCTTGTATTATACAGGATTTTCTATTGATTTAGTTTTATGTGATGAAGGCAAAAAGTACTGTCAATGATATTACTGGGACTTTGGCCAACTTAAAGGAGGATTATGAGAGGCCAAATAGAGCAGCCATTACAGTTGGACGGCCATGTGGAGATCCTTCTGTTAAAATGAATGTATGTGAGGTGTTTTGAAGTTGGTTTTTATCTGTTTATTCCTTTTTTACTTTCTGTTTTTTTACTAGGCTGTTTGTGATAAGAATATTGTTTTTACATTTGGTAGTTACGACTATGGTTTTGATCTTCCTCAGACTTATGGTGTGGGTGTTGGAAGAGCCAGTATTACTGAGGTTATTTCCAGCCAGAGGAATGGTTTCAATATTAAACGTGGATCTGAAAATTACCCGGCGTCCAAATCTGTGAATGCTGACCCTCGTTTATTGGCAAGACAGAACATTGCTGGTAGAAGCAGTAATGTGATGCCCAGCAGCTGGAAAAACTCCGAGGAAGAAGAATTTATGTGGGAGATGCACTCTAGATTGTCTCAACATGATGCAACCAACATCTCTAATAACACAAGGAAAGATCATTGGATTCATGATGTTTCAGAAAAGTTGGTAAGCTTTCAAGATTAGGGCTTTGAATTGAATTACATAATTTTACTGATTACACTCTGAGAAATATCTTTTCTAAACTTGTAAAGATAAACTTTATGAAATTGTCTCTTATTTACTTAACAAAAAAAAATTGTCTCTGATTTAATATGTCAAAACATTTACAATATGCATGTTTATACTTCTGTTTTTTGGTACCCTATATGCATTTATACTTCTTATAGCTTGTATAAACTCAAGATTTACTGCAGTTTTCAATATGCATATGAAGATGTAAATAATGCATTGTTGAAAAGCTCTATTGTTTGGCTGAGGAACATTGTTTGGCATATATACACATAAATATATAAATGTATATGTATATATTTTTGGTTTCCTTGCATTTCTTTCTTCTGTGATTTCATTTTTTTGGGGAATATTTGTAATTTCCTGTATTTCACTTTCAATGGCAGGATTTTGAAAGTTCGCTTTGCAAAGCACAAAGTATTGATGATGTTGGGTCCAGGTTCGACCGAGAAACATCTTCCGATTCATTATCCGCTGAGAAGAAGGACAAACCTTCATATGAGTGCCGGATTTCATCTGCATGGCCATTGCAGGAGTCACATAAAACAGATGCATTGCCTGCTTTTAGTTCCAGCCATTATGACAACTATTCTGCCACTATTGGTGGGCTGCCTACTGCTGCAAGTTCTTCTCTGGCCAGGATTGAAATGCGACCCCAAATGGGTTCATCTCATCTTGGACAGCAGCGCTTTCAGTCCCTGGGAACTACATCACCATCTGAACAGTCTCCTATGCGCCAGCATTCCCCGTCACCTTCATTTCCAGCACACCGTACCCATCAAGATTTACAGAATCTGGTTGAACGACAAGCTCATTCTCTCCCTCCCTCTGATTCAAACTTATACCATTTTTCAGGAAAGTTGGATGTTGGGTCGCTTAAACACTCCCATCAGGTTTCATCTGCTTTGTCTTCTCGATCTAGCCGCCATTATCCCCTTTCACAGCCACCAAAACCAGACCATGTGCAGGCGGAATCTTCTGGTCAGACTCAGAAACCGCTTCTGTCTCAGGTCTCTGAAGTAGGTGCAGCTTCAATATTCAGAAATGCAAGAGAGCATACCAATCCACTTGCTATTGGAACTCCAGAACCATCAAGTACAAGTAGTCTATTGGCTGCTGTAATGAAGAGTGGAATCCTCTCCAATACTTCCTTTATCGGCAGCCTTCCCAATAAGATTCTTCAAGATTTGGAGCAAATGCCATCACGGCCTTCTCTTCCAAGCGAGTCTCTGCCTGCTACTTTCACCATGTCTGGTTCTGCATCTCATGATGCGATAGCAACTACAATAAATATTTCTCAGGGAAAAGCAGAACAGCTACCGCCTTCATCTCTTGTTAATAATGCCCCATTGCAAACTTCAGATGCAGAAAGCAAGGCTTCAAATCCAGTATCCAACCTTTTGAGCTCATTAGTTGCAAAAGGTTTAATATCTGCATCAAAGAAGGATGCTTTGTCTGTCCGATCTCTTCAAATTCCTACTCAAATGCAGAAGAGCCCGGAAAGGGAGAGACCAACTGAATTACCGAACAAGAGCTTGGAAACTTCTATCAGTAGCCCTTTGCCAGCTTCTTCCATTCCTAGTTCATCTGATGCTCTTCGTTCCTCCACCATGGACGAGGTATCATTTTCTGAACCTGCTACAAAAAGTTCAGTTGTCTCGCATCAGTACACCTCAATAGTAGTAGAAAACCTCATAGGACTGGAATTCAGACCTGATGTAATCAGAGAACTTCATTCATCTGTGATCAGTGGACTGTTGGATAACCTACCGTATTGTTGCAGTTTATGTGGTCTTCGACTTAAGCTTCAGGAACAGCTCAACAGACACTTAGAGTGGCATTCCATAAAAAAGGTTGAGCCAAAAGGCTCCGATAGAGCACTGAGGGGATGGTATGCACAGTCAGATGACTGGATCTCTGGAAAGCCAGGGCAATTAGTATTTGAATCCACTGGATCAGTGAACCAGTCTGAAATGACAACAGAAGAGACTGAGGTTATGGTTCCTGCAGATGAAAATCAATATGCATGCATGTTATGTGGGGAGCTATTCGAAGATTTCTTTAGCCAGGGAAGGGGTGAATGGATGTTTAAGGGAGCTGTATACTTGACTATCCCATCAAAGGATGGTGAGGGTGGAACGACTACATACGAGACTGCAGCCAAGGGTCCCATTGTGCATGCAAGTTGTATGTCAGAGAGTTCAGTTCATGACCTTGGACTGGCTGGTGATATTAAAATGGTAAGCTCCTTTGTCTTTGAACGTGTTTACCATACTTTCGAATCTCTGTTTGCATTTATTCTGCCAATGTTTTTCGTCGCCTCATCATCATTGTTACTTCTTGTCAGGAAAAGGGAGAATAATGTGCTGAGGTGATAATCAAGCTGCAAGTCTCACTTCTTGTTAGGAAAAGGAAGAACAACCCGTTAAGGTAAAAAATGGAGCCAAGGATGGTGGTTTACATTTTCCCCCCCAGAGCTTAAAGGTCTAATGAGGAATGACCCTGTGTTTGCAAATTTTGCTTGCCTTTTTATTTCTCTTTTGCCCCTGCTTTTCTAAGTTAACCACAGCATGATAGAAGTAAATATGAATACAGAATAGTTTTTGTCTTAGCTTTCTTCATTAATGCGTTTTTAGTACGATTTGGTATATTTAGTTTTTCCACTTGGCTGGAGCAGATTTGGAATTTGATAACTGAGGAAGGTACTCCCTCACCCAGGCCATGTCAAAGATATCTCATTCATGTCTCATAGAAGATAGGGATGGAGTCAAGATTGAACATCTAGATGAATTAAATTGCTCAACTTAAAAAATATAAGCGCTTGTTAAGTATTAAATTCCAAAATTTGAGGGTAGCATTGGACTAAAAATGTTTGGGGGCACATGTCTTTCCCATCTCTTCTCTATTTCTATGCAAGAGTTTTTGTTTTTGTTTTTGAATAGTTTAGGGCGATAATAACGTGGTATTTGTTTAAAATTTCTGCATTGCAAGTGCAGTTGTTGGAATTTGGATGATATTTTCCCTTGTTTATGAGAGGAGCAATTATATTCTTTTTTGTGTATTTTTACTGGTTAAGTTTTGGGGTAATACACTAATTAATAAATGAGAGAAATTAGGATTATTTAAATACAAGGCCATTGGATGGAACCTTCTTAGAGCAAGTGACTTAGCCAAGCTAAATGGATTCACTGACCACAGATAAATTATCATATTTTTTAATTCTTTAAGAATTGTAATTAAAAGACTGTAAATGTACTAAATTATAATTATAATTATAATTATAATTTATAGGTTAAATTAGATATTTTTTTAAATGTGTCATATTAATTTACCGAAAGTTTTTTTTTAATAATATTGGGTGATTATAAAGTAGTTTCTATTCAATTTCTTTTATAATTTATAGGTTGAATTAGATATATATATTTTTTAAAATTTGACACGTTAATTATTGTATTTATTGTATGAAGCATAAGGTTTATATTTACAAAGCTAGACTAATCCGTGTGTTGATTTCAATAATATATAATTTTTTTATTAAGTTAAGATGATTATGATGTTCTAAATATTTTTAATCATTTGATAATGAATACTCAATCATCCAACTATAGTTGCTGGTGTTTGAACTCATTATCTCTAGGAACAACAACAATTCATTTAATTACTGAGGCTAATTGGTCCGTGCAATAATATATAATTTAAATTTCTTTTACGATGTAATAAATATTTAAGAAGCTAATCTGGCGGTATTGGTAAGTAAATGTCAAACTTGTTGATTTGGTTATATTTTTTTTCCGTTCTAATATGCACGTGATCTGAGATTTTTTTTAATAAATTTGAGATAAATATAAGAAATTATTTGTTCAAACACTTTCAGATATTTGATAATGAACAATCATCTCTCTGCATGTGGAGTGTTCGAACTGGAGACCTTTAGGAATAATAATAATTCTTTTACTATTGAAGTCGCTTAATTTGGGCATAATTATTAGATTCATCAAATCTTCATTATATACATTCTCTTGATATTATTATATCATCATTTTAAATGATAATAACAAATTTTTATAACTATTAAATTGGTAAATTAAATTATAACTCTGATATGAGTTTAAAAAATTCAGAAAATAATGTTTTACGTAATATTTAAATGCAAATAATATTTCAAATATATTATAAAAGTTTTTTTAATACGATACATACAAATATTTCAAAGAAAATCAATACATGCAATGCAAGTGTTATCAAAATTATTTTTAATATTAAATATGATTATCATGTATATTGGAAGGGCATGATGATATTAAGCAAACATGATAAATAAAAGTGAAACAAGTACAAAATCATGCTCACATTTGTTTCACTACCCATAAAACTCCATTTATATTTCAGTGACTTCCCTGCATATTAGTAATCTGAATTATTTTTTTAAAATTATTTATATTTTCATAGTTAAAATTTTTTTTGGGTATATCCGTATATACATAGTTAAAATTTTTTAATGAGTTAATATAAATATTTATAAAAAAGATTAATGGGACGTGAGTTATTCTGCTCCACTCTCTCTTAAAAACCGTTTGTTTTACTTTTTCACTTCCGTTCCTTGTGTTCTTTCTTCCCAAACAAACACCGGTAGTTCTTTCTTTTTCCAATCATGTCCTGCTTCATTAGCAGATACGCCGGTAATTATTTTTTCAGATCTTTATATGGTAATGGTATACGTTTTATTTAGTTGGATATTTTAACTTAGATAAAAAGAAACAGTGTCGCAGATGAGCTAGCAAAAAACGCTGCCTACATCGGCACCCCTGGGAAGGGTATCCTAGCGGCTGATGAATCCACCGGCACAATCGGCAAGCGGCTTGCTAGCATTAATGTAGAGAATGTTGAAGAAAACTGGCGAGAACTACGAGAGCTCCTCTTCACTGCTCCCGGTGTCCTCCAGCACATCAGTGGCGTTATTTTCTTTGAAGAAACGCTCTACCAAAAAACTGCTTCTGGTAGAGTATTATTTATTAAATTTAAAATTCCGGACAATGAATGCATAATCCGAAATGAATTATGGTTGGTTTTGATTCTTGATTGCAGGAAAGCTCTTTGTTAATGTGTTGAAAGAATCTGGTGTCCTCCCAGGCATCAAGGGTGACACTGGCACGGTTGAGCTTAATGGAACCAATGGTGAGACTTTCAGCCAGGGTCTTGATGGCCTTGCCCAGCGTTTCCAAAAGTACTACGAAGCCGGTGCTCGGTTCGCTAAATGGCATGCCGTGCTTAAGATCGGAACTTTCGAGCCAACCGAGCTAGCAATCCAAGAGAATGCCAATGGATTAGCAATGTATTCAGCCATCTGCCAGCAGTGTGGCCTGGTCCCCATAGTTGAACCTGAAATCCTTGTTGAATGACCACATGACATTAACAACTGTGCCTATGTAACCGAGCGTGTCCTCGCGGCTTGCTACAAAGCTCTAAACGACCACCATGTGATGCTCGAAGGTACGTTGTTGAAACCCAACATGGTGACCCCTGGTTCGGATTCCCCAAAGGTTGCACCTGAGGTTATCGCCCAGCACACGGTCCGTGCAACCGTGCCTCCCGCGGTTCCTGCGATACTGTTCTAATCTGGCGGACAAAGTGAGGAAGAGGCCACCATTAACCTCAATGCCATGAAGAAGCTACAAACCAAGAAACCATGGTCGCTCTCGTTCTCATTCGGAAGAGCTCTTCAACAGAGCACTCTCAAGGCATGGGGTGGGAAAAAGGAGAATTTGGGAAAAGCACAAGAGGCATTCCTCGTTAGATGCAAGGCTAATTCCGAGGCTACCCTTGGTACCTATAAGGGCGATGCAAAGCTTGGTGAGGGCGCTGCCGAGAGCCTTCACGTCAAGGACTACAAATACTGAGAATTTCCTCTGGTGTTATGTGCCATGATATATGGATAAAAATGGTATTGACATTGAATTTTTAGGTTTTTATTTTTTTACTTTGGGTCGGGTTTCTCTCATGCTCCGTTAAATTTTGAGGCTGAAATCAGATGAACAAACTTAGGAGCCTTTGTGCTAGCTGCCTGTATACACGCATAATTTTTTTAAAATTTATATTTGTACTAAATTGCTTTGGAACTTAATATTTATAATAAATTCTGCTTTGCCTTGAGCAATACAATTTTATAAATCTATTTGTTAAATTTATTTTTACTTACGTTCACATTCTTCTTTCAAAAATTTCTATTTTGGAAATGGCCTGCATACGGTAGTGATATGCACACTACCCGGAAGTTCATTTATATTTATTTTTGTATTTTTTTATAATATTAGGTAATTATAAGATAGTATATATTCATAGTATTTTATAGTTATTGACAACGTATACACATCTTGTAAACGCAACTTCTTGAATCTAAGACGTCTAGGAAGAACAACACTCTTTAACAATTGAAGTCGTTTAATGAGTTATTTTTTTAAATCGAAGATGATAAAATTTGAATTATAAATAAAGATGTTAATGTCACTTGACTGTTATGTTAGGACACTGAAATTATATATAACGTCCCAAAATTTATAATATCATACTATTGAAAACTCGAGAATACAATGAACAATTTTGTAACCTTGAGTTATACTATTATTTGGATATATTGTGGTTATGACCTCTGGAATTGAGAAAATAATTTTAAAAAAATGATTAGTCATTTCAGTGATTTTGTGTGACACTTGAATTCTTGATATTTAAGACGAATCAAATTTAAACGTTACATAGCATATCATGAGTGGACATCGACTTAATATTCGAGTAGTAATAGGAAAAATTATCAAATTACATATAGTTAAGAATAATGTGTATAGATGACCAGAAATGAGTGCAAAAGCAGAGAATCATAAGAAAATTACATAAGACGCTAGTTATCACATAGTAACAGTTTGAATTACCCTCGGAAGGGTGAAATGATCAAAATACGCTTGATCATAATAATTGATAAAGAAAAACATAAATTACGAGAAAAATATTTAAGAATTTTGATAATTAATTAAAAACTCTCTCATAACTTATAAAATGTTTAATATAACCTTTGTGAGTGAAAATTACAAAAATACCTTAGGGCTAAAATGACTAAATTACCCTAATAGATTTAAGTGAATGAAATGATCTGAATTAAGTTGTCATGATAAAGAAAGGGTGACAATACCTTTATGATTAAGAAAATCACTGTAATAACCCTATGATAAGTAAATGATAAAAATGTCTTTTTGGGGCTAAATTACTACTGAAGTGTTAAATGGATAAAATAGTGTAAAGTCCTTAAATACCTTAAAGGTTAAAAGCTCAAAGTATCAGTGATGTGATAAAAGATTATAAATAAAACAATGTCTAAAATACTCATGTAATTAGAAAAGAGTTAAAAAGGTCCTTAGAGGCGAAATTACTGAAATACTCTTAATGTATTGAAATGATTAAAATAGTATGATCTAATAAGTGATAAAAGAGGAATGATGGGAAATACTCATATGTGAATACAAAAGATTAGGAAGTCCTATGTGTAAAAAAAAATACCCCTCGAGTAAGGAAATTATCAAAACACCCATATGGGCAGTAAATTATCTATGAAAGTTTACAAATGGTTAAAATATTTTCTACAATAAACAATGATTGTCATATTACATGGCATAGTGCATGATGTTAGGGAGGCTTAAGACAAACCATATTGATTATTATTATGGATTACGATGATAGATTATGTTGAGGTGAGATCATTACATGTATATGGAGACATTAACAGTTGTTAAAACACATGGTAATGTAAAGGAAAAGGCTTTTGAAATTATTATTGTTAAAGTAAATTAGTTAGAGATCGTTGGTACAATGACAAGTCTAGGGTCGAGCAGTTGTGTCTTAGTCCCTTAGCATCGTTCACCATAATAGAGCAATTTTGTGATGTTGTTGATACTTCGGTGCGTTAGAACCT